CGACTCCGTCAAACATTAAGATGTATATACACAAATTTTTCTAAAGAAAAAAATCTATTCAGATCATTTCCACTCCATATCCATGGGAGGTTTTCCCAGTGTAAGTTCTTGGTTTGTATGCTCCAAGAGATACTCGCTCGCTAATGATGTATGGTCCACTCCAAGTTTGATCCAGTATGTCGACCGCCTACCCACGAGCAGCTGGGTCAGCTTTTTTCAAAACCAAATTCCCTGGGGTGAAAAATTTCTCTCGAGCCTGCTTATTGAAATATCGGGCAGTACGCCTCTTAACTTCCTCTTGTCAAAAGGTTGAATTTGTTTGTTTTTCTTCTGCTAAATTGAGGTCAAGCAAGGCTCCTTCATTGATGGCATCTTGCCATTCTACTAGTTCTTTTTTTTTTGTCGAATGCAAAGGCGGTGATAATTCTCTGACTATAATGATTGGATTCGACCGATACCACCTCCTCCATCTCATGTTTTAACATAGATGTTGTTTGACCAGTCACCGTCAAAAGTATCAATCGAATAGCCCAAAGGATCGATGGCAACAGATCCACCCAAATTTCTTTGGCTCCTTCAACTTATTCCTTACTAAATTCATAATGATCACTTTTTTCCGCCTTTCCATTTTTTTGTTGGTGATGAACCAACTTCAGATCAATTTCTTAACTGACACAAAAATCTTTAACTCCTTGATCAATGAACTATGTCCCGTTGTCGGTAATGATAACTAGCGGCAAGCCATACCGACAAATGATATTCGTCCATGAGAAATTTTGAACCACTTCCGCAGTGATTCGGGCAAGCAACATTGCGTCGAACCACTTGAAAAAGTAATCCATGATAGCCCGTAGAAATTTTCATTGGCCTTTGATTGTAGAAACGACCAAAAAATGTCCAATCCCTAGGTAGTGAATGTCCAGGAACTGGTAATTGGATGAAGCTTGCATCGGGTTGATGCTGTAAAGGTGCATAGTTCTGGCATTGTTCACTTTTCCTCAAAAGTTAGTCAAGACCTTTCAAGAGCAAATGGCAAAAAATAGACTTGTCTTTAAACACAATATGCCAGTGTATTGCCTATTGAATGACTTCCACACTCTCCAGAATATGCCTTGAAGGATGGTTTTTGCTTCATCTCCTCTTAGACAACTCAAATACATGGAATTGACTGACTGTCTGAAGAATTTTTGTTCGATCATCAAATTGAAGACAGTTTTACTTTAAAACATCTTGGTTCTGTATATTTCTCTGACGGTATTCCTTTTTTGAGGTAGAGGATGTAAGGATCCATTCAACTTTTATTGTTTTCTGCTGGCACCTCCATAATCTCGAATTTTTCAATTGTCGGTCAGATAAGCCGTTGTGGCGCTCCTCCTAAGCTAATGTGCTTAGAATGTCGGCGACCTAATTTTCTTCCCAACCAGCATGCTCAATTTTGAAGCTGGTAAACTTGTTGATCTCTTGTTTGACTATATTGAGATATTTCGCCATCATTTCAACTTTGGCTTCAATATCTCTGTTTACTTGGTTCACGACCAATAGTGAGTCAGACTTCACAAGGACACTCAGGACGCCTATCTCATACACTAGGTGCAGTCCCGCAATAAAAGCTTTATACTCCACTTGGTTATTGGTAACTTCAAACTCCACCGCGATCGTACAATAGCGGTGTTCACCAATTGAGCTGTCGCAAGCCAATCCAAGCCGTACATTTGATTGTTTAAAAGCTCAATCGATGCGTAGGGTCCATACCTGGTCGTCATTTTTGTTTCTATCACTTCATTCAACTACCTCGAAAAAATCCACCAAAAAATATGTGATCGACTGCGCTTTGATTGTCGATTGAGGCACGTGAGAGATGACAAAATCACTAAGTTCCACGACCTACTTACGGAGCTGACTAAAATGTCCTAGTCGTGTGAGAATGGACTTCAAAGGATGGTCTATGATGACTCAGATTAGGTGCATTTGGAAATACAGTCGGAGCCTGCGAGCATAACAACCAAAGCAATAGTTCATTTTTCCAGTACATGGTACCATAATTCGGCGGCTCTGAGGACTCAAGTAGTAGACTGGATATTGCTTCCTTTGCGAGCACTGAGTTGACTACCTCTGGTCTAACCCTCAAATACAGGGAGAGTTCTTTGTTCAATTTTGGGCTTTAGAGCGGTGGAGATGCTAGGAAATTCTTCAAACATCGCCTGCTTGCATTTTTTCTGACCATTTAGCGCTTACTTTTCCATTGTGCCCTACAAAAAAGTTGCTCATTTATCATCCGATTTTGGGATAAAACGATTGAGCCCAGCTATCTGACCAATCAATTTATGAACCTCTTTCGCATTTTGGGGGAATGGCATATCTATTAAAGCTTTTACTTCCTCCGGATTTGTTCTTATGCCTTCGGGGGTCATAGATAATCATGGAACTTTCCAGTTAAGGCCGCGAAAATGCATTTAGTGGGTTAAATCTCATGTTATATTTTCTAAGAGCTGAAAATGTTTCTTTTAAGTCATTAATGTGTTATTTTATCGACCGACTCTTTACCAATATATCATCAACATATATTTCAATATTTTTTTCTTTTTGATCAGAAAATATTAAATCCATAAGACGTTTGTCTACAGTTCCAACGTTCTTAAGCCCAAAGGGCATTAAATTAATACAAAACACACCTTCACTAATAATAAAAGATGTTTTTTTCTATGTCGGCTGGATGCATTTTAATATGGTGGTAGTCAAAGAATGCATTGAGGAAGCTCATTACTAAATAATCGGTCGTCGGATCAACCAATGTATCTATCTTTGCAAAGGATAGATGTCCTTTGAGCAGGCGTTGTTGAGGTTTGTGAAAACCATGTACATTCACCATTTGACATTTGATTTGTTCACCATCACCACATTTGAGATCCAGGTTGGATATTGGACCTCTCTGTTGTAACTGACCTCCTTCAATTTCCTTGAAAATTAGCCCAGCCAAGGTTCTGGCTGAAGAACAGATTTTATGTTGCACTGGTCATTTGATGCTCAAATAGCGGCACGCCACATCAATTGGTATCCCAGGCATTTCGTCGTTCTCTAAGTGAAAACATCTCGATGCTCGCGGAGAGTTTGGATCACCGTGCTCATGTATTCTGCATCAAAACGATCACTTATTAGGAAAATTTACCAGCGTCCTTGATTAATGTTGATATCTCAAGGATTGTCTCACTTCTCTAAAGACCTTCTTCCCTTCGGAATTATATATCGAGCGGATCCTCCTACACGTTGTTGCTGCTCAAAGATAGCACCTCCATGATAGCTCTAATTTTCCTATTCATGGAGCGGTTAATCTAACCACCTTTCTAATACAAATAGAGAAATAGGCACGAGTGCCATGAATAGTCCTGGCTATTGAATCTTAAAATTGGCATTTAATATAACAGGCTTTTGTCTCTAGTTGACGGTCACCTAAGCCACTGCTAATTCTATCAGCAATCTAATTCTATCGACCGCCTATATTTGATGGATCTATCAATCGGTTGAGCAGATGCGCTAAGTTAGCTAGTCATTTCATATAATTTTGATAGAGGGTAGTAATGGTTTGAACCGCTTGATCCCTCAAAGATTCGTGCTGACATTTTTCCTATACACATTAATCTAAAAAAGCAGATAAATTATGAGCAATTTGCAATATCAATCTAAGTGACTATCATATTATTTAGTGCATTCAATCTAGAGTAAAATAGAAATAAAACACTCACTTGAATCACATAACTTGCATTATCTTCAACTATTAAATGTCACTTCTCAAACAAATCGCATATATAACACAATTGATTCTTATAAAATTTCTATTAATTGTGTAAATTTATCTCGACTCCTCTAATTCCTCTCATATATAATTATATCAAGAACATTTATATTAGTACTTTTTTTTAATTCACATTATCTAGTTATGATGAACTTATTATATATATCATTTCAACTTCTTATCGAAATTCTTTAGATTTATTTAAATTATTAATCTCACAATTCTTATTAAAATGTATGACTTAAGCATTAAATTTCTGTTGCTTTATTATTATTATTTAATTTGTTTCTTATATACATTAAATTAACAACATTATAATTAAACTAAAATTAAATTTTATAACTTTAATCTTTACATTCATTATTTTACTTCACATTATTATTAAAATTTAGTTATATATTGAATCATCACTCTATCATAGTGTTATATAGCATTGAATCATAGATTAGACTCAAATTGATCTTTTATAATTTTTGAATATTTGCATCTTATTAAAAATCCTAAAATATTTGTTGGTCAACTATTTTGTAAATCAATGCAAACTCTAGCCTAAAAGTATTTTGTGAATAAACTAAAAACTCAAAAAAAAAATCTTATTTAATTATTCTAAATTGATGAGAGATATATATCTCTTCATAGCTCCGTTTACCTCCAGCGTGCTCAGTCCTAGTCATACGAGCATGACTAGGATACTGTGCCCGCATCTTGTGTGAGATTTTTGTGCCTGGTTTTCCATCGCCCTCATTTGTCCCAACAATGGCCAAGCTTCGATCGAGTTGAACTTCTATCTTTTCCTCACATGAGGGTTGTGGTAGTTATGGTTTAAGTAAATCAACTTGAAGAACTCGCAATCAAAATCTTAGGTCTGGCATTTAAGAAACTTAAGGCATGAGTTTGATCCATTTATCTTCAGTTCCGCAAGTTATCCTTTTATGCACAGCTATTTTATCTTAACATGTTTTCTAACAGCTGTTTTTCAAATAATCACTCATATAATTGTTTTCTACAAAGTTGTATTCATTCATAGCACAATTTAAATGTTAAGGTACCAATGATTATATAGCATAACTGCATGGGCAAAAAACCAGCCGGTGACCTTTCAAAACCTTAACTGTTTTCAAAACAGTATAGAATACCTGAGTGTACTGTGAATAATCTATTAGCATTATCTAACTGTACATGAAGGAAAGGTGAGAAACAAGAACATTACCTGTTCTTTAAGATCATGTCCAGAAGCAGTTTCATGATCAGACTTAAAACTTCCAAGGAATCCATCCACAGACTCCATCATGTGCATGTCACCACATCCTAGCAGACCATTTAATTCCTTTATAGACTTTGTTACTGTTGGAAGTAATCCCACATCTCGTTTGAAGCCATAAAACTTCGACACAAGGCCCTGGGAGACCCTCCATATATTTAAACCCTTTGCTCTCTCTTCTAGAACAGCTATCACTGTTGGCCTATGCTTTTCTCTCAACTCTACAAGTTTTTCTTCATTAATATCTTGATAACCCATGCAAGCTGTTAAAACAAGCTGGCTGCTGTCAAAAGTTGAGCCAGCGAGCGACTGCAATAAAGTAACCCCATCTCCAGCATCTTTTGTGGTTACCAAGGCAGGACCTGCCAATCATAATATTTCTAAATAAGTTCATTCCATAGCTGATATTAGAAGGTAAATGTCATGCAACTTACGAAATAGCAAAACCTAGTAAATATTAAAATACCAAAAAGCTAAAATGGAGTAGTAATGGGTTATTAAAGTACCAAAAGCTGAAAAAGAATGATAACGGTATATATTGATAATCATGAATCAAGCTATAAGAGTAGTACAAGCCAGGTACCATATAACTCCATCAAAGCAAGAGTTGTGTGAAATAGCATTACACGGTTTCCTTCAAAAAGAAGAACATCCCAAACTCGAAGAACTGCAATAGATTAAAGAATATTATAAGATCCATTTATTGGCATTGATACATATGCTGAAAAGCAATTATGGGTAAAAATGCGAAAGGGGACAAAATACAAGAAAATTGGGGCTACAACCTAATAACCGAACAAGAACAATTTAACGTGATTAAGAACCTGACCACTTTCCCAGGGAAGCATATTCACGAATATTGAAAGAAACCAAGGTCCCGTGATCCATGCTACATCCACCCCAAGGAAATCCAGATGATTGGCTGCACAAAAACGCAAGAAATGACTGATTACCAAATCTATGAGTTTAAACATGTCAAATTAACATGGAAAATAGGAATTATGGTTTGATGCGTTGGTGAATTACATACATAATTTTGGAAATCTGCCACGAACTAGCTCCTCCAACACAAGCTGATCCACCTGAAAGGAGTTTATTTTTATCAGGTCTCAATAAGTATTTCATATATCCCTACAGCATAAAATTCTCAACTTCTAGAAGGCCAAATCACAAAACACAATTTTTTCAAGTATATCTGAGCAGCAAGATGTAAAATTAGATGTTACCTGAGATTCAATCATCTCCTCAGTGTAGTAACCATCAAAGTAATCATCAATAATAGCCATTAATGTCCTAAAATGGTCATAGCGAAGAGATTAGTGGAACTGCTAGCTTATAAAACATTAATGGCTCTAGTATTTGAAAACTGGTGGTTAAACATCATGATGCAAAGAAATAATACTCCTCATCTCTCTTCTCTGATTACCCTATTGGGTATGTTTGATTGCTCGTATTTATTTAGAATACATGAATATTTCAAATGTAGTGCAGATTAAATAGAATATTTTTGAAATACTACGAGCTGTTTAGTTAGTTATAAAATAAATTTGTGAACCATTTTTCTGGGTTAAGTAAATTTAATCTATTTATTTTTATTTGCATATTCTTTTCGATAAATATTTTCATATAAATACATTTTTAAAAAATTTTGATGGATTTAGGGCGTAGGATGCGAGCATGGTGCTAACAAAGTCAATGGTGTTAAAGGACACAAAAATAGTTAAAGGACACAAGTTTGGTGTCCACGCCTAGATGCTAAGCCATGAGGTGGCAAGGTTGCTAGGATATTAGGGTCATGGGGCAACACCCGGATGACAAGTTTACAAGTATGGGATTCTAGGACGGTGAGTTCATAAACATGGAGAAGATGGTGAGTTTCGCAGTATGAGATGCAAAGGAATGTGAGCTAACAAGACGATGAATTTGGAATTCACCCAATTCCAAATTCAACAAAAATGACCTGAAGGATATATTTAAAACCTCTTAGAGAAATAATTTGAATTTGTTTACTTAATAACCAAACACCTGAAAAGTTAAAAGCCTTGCCTTTTAAATGTTGTACGCTCCTAACACATGCATGCAGACAGCTCCTAATGCATTTAATCAATCAATTTCAAAAATTAAAATAAAACAAAAGTACCAAAACGCGTTCTCCTCCGGCATCAGCAGTAGTAGAAGACCTGCAAAGAAATTCATAGCCTGCAAAGCATGGATTCCAAAACACAAAGAATAGTAAATCGGCAATAAGACGATGAAATTCTATGACTGGAAAACTATTAGACTGCTAATCAAAAGCATAATGAAGGGGCAAACCATCAGTAAAACTGATATCAACGACTAACCAATGTGGAATGTTTACTTTAAAAAAAATTAGAGAACACATCAGAAATAATTGGCTGTTAGAAGTTTATCATGTTATGAATTTAAACCATAGTTTTGAAAATTGCCTGAAAACTACTAGAAATTGGAGTTAGGTTCGGTTTCTGCGTTATGTCAGATGAAAAAAAAGACTTGGCTATATGCTAACCTAGCTGCAGCGCTATAATGAAAAAAGTTTCCCAACTTATTTCTCCTTCTACGAGTTTAAAGCCAGGCATTCCCAAGAAAATCTACAAAGAAATCCACTGGACCAAGCATCAATTTCATGAATAAATGAACGAAACAATATATATGTAATAAAGAATAATAATAGCAATATCTCTTAGTTATCATTGTTAATAAACAAATTCATCCAAAAAATTAAAATTTGTATAGCCATTTCTTCAATAATAATAATAATAATATATAAAATGATTTGAACTATTTAAATACAAAAAATGCTTCATAAGCTTATATTTTAGGACATAATAGAAAATGTGAAGTTTGTGTTAGCCACTACTTAAATTCAGTTAGGATAAATACAGATGTTATTAATTTTAATAATTGTTAACTATTTGTATTTAGTAGTGCATGGTATAAAAAAATATCTAAAACATATATTAAATAACAACAGGAACAAAAAATAAAACGGCAAAATAAAACAACTGGAAAGTATCAAAACCTCTGAAAATAAAACTGGTGACAGAATCTTTTCAGGAAGGACTTTTCCAGACGGAATTCTCTAAAGGGAAGAAAAAAAAATGTATTCATCAAAACTTGGCTTGAATGGTGCTTATAATGAAAATTTATAGAGATAGCATGGACGAGATTGTTACTTAATCGCCATAAACTTATTAGCTAATAACAAAATGAGTCCCAAAAGAAAAGACATGAATAGCCTAATCAAATAAACAAATGTATAAACATTATCAAATTTTTTTAAGGAGGGCAGATTTATGAGAAAATAAGGAAAATTGATTCGAGTGATCCGAAGCAAAACTTAGAACAAAAGCGCACAAAGTAGGAAATCAAAAAAAAATGCAACAGAACGAAGAAAAACTCGAGAAGAAGAAAAACCATAGAGCCACACCGTACCAAGAAATCCAATATAAAAAATGAGGAGAATAATATAAATTAAACCAAACTCAAGCCTCTCTACACTATTGAAACTCAAAAACATTCCTTCCTCTCCTTTGCACAAAAGAAAAAATAAAATCCAACTTCAGTGCACTTACATTCTTGTATTAAAATCAAAATTTAAACCTAAATTGCTCAGAAAACAATTACTAGCGCCTAGGGTTCCAAACTTGTGCTTGACATGGTCGCGCCCCTCCTGGGAGTTGGACTGTTGAAGGCTCTATTTCCGAAAATGGAAATGAAGAAGGTTGACCAAGGAGTAGCAATTTTTGACGTTGGGGCGCCCATGTCGGAGCCTTGGGGTGTTCCATTGCAACACCTAGGCATTGCACCTCGGCATAGGGGTGACTGGTATAGCAGTGCTTGCTTGAGTGAACAATTGATCACCAAAAATCAAGCTCCGCATATAACAATATCCTAATTAAAGACTAATTGTTTCAATTTATCTCCTCCAAATGTGTACCATCTTCATAGTGATGTACTGTAGTGTGGCTCAACCCAGGTCTCAGTCTTCCTGAACTCCAAACTGAAGCTAACCATACTTAGTTTCTCAATTGTAACAGCCTTAATAAACAGATTTGCAATATTGTGTTGGGTGTATCTTCTCTAAAGATAATTGAATATCTTCTAAAAGTGAACGAATGAAATGATACTTAAACCGAACATGCTTCGTCTTGACATGAAATGAAGCATTCTTTTCTAAATGAATGACACTCATACTGTCACAATTAAGTTTTTATTCCCAAGCCAGTTGTCCAATTATGTCACAAATCTTTGCAACCAAATCACTGTTTTACTAGTCTCAGCGATAGTAATATACTCGGCTTCTGTAGTTGATATTGCAACAATCTTCTGCAACATAGAAACCTAACTCATTGATGAGTTCCCCAAAGTGAAGATGTAACCTATTGTACTTCTTCTACCAACAATATCTTCTGTCAAATATGAATCTACATTTCCCTATAGATTAATTCCTACACCTTCGAACAATATGCTTTGTTGACTATTCATCTCAAGTATCTGAGAATCCACTTCATCATATCCGAATAATATTGACCTGGATTACTCATGTACCGTTTATCAAACTCACTGCAAGTGCAATATCTAGTTTTGTACATATTATTGTATATTTAAAACTTATAACAGTTTAAGCATAAAAGGCTTTTTTCATGTAAGTGTTTTTTCAGCTTCAAACTTGGGCGATTATTCTTTAGATAGCTTAAAGTGACTACTTAATGGAATGCAAACTGATTTTACCTCACTCATGTTGAATATGTGTAAGACCTTCTCGACATATTATGTTTGAGATAACTTCAATATACATGCACTCTTATTCCTATTGATTCTCATACTAAGGATTTTCTTAATTTATCTAAATCTTTCATTTCAAACTCCTTTAGTAATTGCTCATTTGAACCCCTAATCATCTCCATAGTTGCTCCTACAATCATCCTATTATCCACATACAAAAGAAGCATAATACAGTAAATTAATAAAATATTTAATGAAACAACAGTGATCTACTCGACACTTCATATAAAGAAAAGTCTTTTTTGCTACACGGAGATGAGCAGCTTCTAGTGAAAACAAAATGGGTAGAGCAGGAAAAAGCTGAAGGATCAGGCGGGGAAAACGAGGTCCGAACCCGTGACTTCTGGAGTGACAGACTAGCACTCTAACCAACTAAGCTATTTCCCCCTTTTATCACTACTTTCGATTCAAAAAGTAACCTACTGGTTTGGTTAACTTTTTCACAGAGAGACTCGGAGAGGAAAATTCAGCTCATTCCGACGAGTATGACATTTCTGCTTATATCTAGTTCCACCCCATAATCTAATATAAACTTGTCAAATTTGCCGTAACAAACTTGAGCCTACTTCAAACTATAAAAACTCTTCTTCAACATATCTTTTCCTGGAACTTCATATCTCTGTAGTTGTTATATATAGTTCATCTTCTTGGTCACTATATAAGAATGTTATTTTTACATCCATCTGCTCCAAATATAGATATTCCTATGCTACCAAGCTCAACACATCTCTAATAGTTGTCATCTTCACTACAAGAGAAAGCATCTTAAGGTATTCTAACTCCTTTTGCCAAAATCTCTATTAATACGTCTCGCTTTATGGCGTCTGCTACAATCACTCTTATTCAACATGTAAACTCACTTACTGTGCAGTGTTTTTTTTCCATCTGATAATTCTGTCAATTCTCATGTCTAATTTGACATTAGTGAATATGTCTTTATCTATGACACTCACTCCTGAGTCATCAACTAAAGTGGTTTCATCATAACACTAGTTCACCAATATTAGTCAGCAATAGATAGTACAAAAAAAGAAAATACATCTATATAAATAGTGTAATTCTATTTGACCTCCTGATTTCAATAGCAGGTGTTTGAGGAACTTTCTGTGCCTCATAAGATTGAACATATTTTCTTTCTTCCTCTCCTAATCACTCATAAGATTTTGAAGGGTCTTCAAAAGTAACTGATGAAAAATCACAAGTTTTAGTACTGTCCATGTACGTCTCTATTTCATTGAAAGTAATATCTCTACTCCTAATGAATTTCTGATTCTAATAGCCCAAATTTATCTGAGTCATAAACAATGAAAGTACACTTGATAGATTTTGAAATAATTGAAATATGAATAGATATATATATGTGTGCGTGTGCGTAAATAAATAAAAATATAATTAAATAAATAAATTTATTTAGATGTGTCTGTTTGAAAAGACGCATCTCCCCACTGAAATTAAAATTAGCTTGCCTCTCTCACACCTCAACTCATTGGAACAGAAATATCGAGAGAGACAAATGGAGCATGAGAGATCGAGAGAGTGAAGTTGAGGAAGTAGATGAAAGAAGAAGAAGTCATAGCAGAGGGAGAAGGAGGGCGGTAGAGGAGGCAAGCCACTTATCTAGTCCTTTCCCTCTACTATGTGCAATCAAACCGAAGGGGAAGAAGGGCTCACGAGATCCCTATCATGCAGCCTGCAGATGAAGGAGGGCTCGAGCAGCCTATAGAAGCTCGGCCAAGAGCTCGGAGAGGAAAGAAAGGCTGGCAGGATCATTTGGCGTGCTGGGAAGGACTAAACCAAACCCTTACTACTCGGTTCAAAGGTAAATCTTAATTTTTTTCAAGTTATCAATTGCAATTGATTAGCTAAATTATGAAATTTAAATCCTAATTAATTTCATTAATTCTCAGAAAACCTTAATGTTAATTCTTACAATTTTAGGGTTTCGAAGAGGAAGTTAAGGCAGAATAAGGAGAGTACAACTTCAAGTATAATATTTGATTTCAATAATGAATTATTATTTTTCTTATTAAATCACGATAAAAGGAAAATTAAAAATCCTAAATTTAAAACTCAGTTATAATTAAGTTGATATCAAGTACGTTTGTAACATGGAAAATTTGTCAGAAGCTTCAAGATAAAATTTAATGGAATATACCTACAAGTATACGCATATATATTCATATAGGAAAGCCATTTAAGTTGATGACTTTATTAGATAAAAGATAATTGAATATTTTAATATCTAATTATGATAGAATTTATGAGAAAAATAAAATAAAATAAAATAAAATAAAATAAAACTCATAGAGATTAAGAAAGTTTAACTTGTTATATGTTCACAGAAAAGATTAGATTAATCTGAGGAAAAGAATAACAGATGACATTTCTGAGATGGGTAATATTTTTTATTTTACCAGTGTTCTATAAATTTACGCATATTTTTATTGTTTCCCTGCATTTACTTTTAAAATGCAAAATTTCATGTTTCCTTTTAAACGATAAATGCAAGATAAAAAAAAATATGATATATGCATGTATATAAGAGTCGCCCCTGAATGGAATTAGAAAGGGAATGCATTTTGCCCCAGCACGAAATGAAAATGGAAATGAATTTTCAACTTTTAAGGTTGGCAAGAAAAAGTTAAACGTTCTTTTATAAAGTATAAGTTTAGAAGGTGATTCACAATCATGAAAAGTGTAACCTAAATTAATGAAAGAAAACAAAATTGTTTACTCTACTGCTCTTTTTTATTGCACAATTTTTTTTCTTATAGTGCTCTTTGCAAAATATCTTAAAATAAAAATTATTATAATTTAGAAACATTTACCCACAAAGTAATTTTAACTCGAACCGTATTTGTTAATGTTATTACTGGAAAATTAGTTGCAAATTAGATGAACCGTAGGTAGTACGTGTACAGGTGTCATGGAGCTCAAGTTGATAGGCATTATAGTTCAGCTTTATTTTAAATGTAAAAGTTTAAATATGAATCAAATATTATAAAATTAAGTTTCATGAATTTGAATGACTCTTGTGTTGTGATGGATCTTATTTGATTACGAAATAAAACTACTAGATAGGTTTCCTTCGTCTGATCGTCAGTTCCCGGCTTAATAATTTCAAGCCCCCACGTTGGGATGTGACAGATTTACCTCTTTGTCACTTTATATTTCTTGAGATAAGTTCTCATTCAAAGGTACAGACGAACCACGATTTATTAGATAAACTATAGTGTTCACTATTTTTGCCCAGAGCTGTTTTGGCAAACCTACATGCAACATCATACATTTGACATGCTCTGTGATGTTTTCATTCACGTGCTCAACAACACTATATTATTGTGGTGTCCTTAAAACAGAGAACTCATGTCTAATTCCATCTAAAGCACAATAACACCTGAACCTCTGATCACGATACTCATCACAATTATATGATACGAGACACTTTAATATCAAGCATGTCTCATTCTCAACCAGATCACCTATGAAACTAGTCACATATCCTGAACAAGCAAGTTGACTAGCAGAAATCAGATTTCTCTTCAAACATAAAACATATCTAACTTCATTTAGCTTCCAAACTAATCCATTTGTCAACCTGAAATACACCTTTCTTGAGCGCTAGATTGTCTAAGGCCTTGTTTCTAAAACTTGAAATGAAGGTTGGGAGAGGGGGAGACCGTGTTGGAGCATCAGGGAGCCCCGTTGCAACGCCAAGACGCTGCACCTAGGAACGGTATAGGAGATGCATGCTTGAGTGAACAATAGAACACTAGCAATGACATTCCACATATACCATTTAATGTCTAATCAAATCTAAGGTGAATAGGATATGGATGGTAGCAATGAATGGCTCCTTAGCCTCCATCAACTCGCTAGAAGAGATCTACTTTATAAAATTAAAAGCTTGATTGTGGATATACGCATCAATGAACTCAATATTTGTAAATGTTAGATTGTCGAAGAGCAACCTCGCCAATCATAAATCTCATGCTATATACAATGATGAAAGTACTAGATGTGTTGTAAAGGACTTAAAACACTCCAACTAAAACACTTACAAGAAATTCCAGTAACTTAATGTATCATAGTAAAGCAAAAGATTATTTATTTTAGAAGTAAGACTAAAATAAATGTCAAGAGGAAAATCAAACATAAAAGATTAAATCAATCATCGTCGTCTTTATCAGCCTTATACCAACTAATTGGGGTAAATTTTATTAATCCTTACTTTCCAATTATTTTCATTTCTTTTTGCATTATTTATGGATGCTCTTCCTAGACATTTACAAGATGATGTACCTTGGTTTATCCTTTTTGTTGATGATATCCTTCTTATGGATAAGATTAGAGAAAGAGATTAAGAAAAAGTTCAATTATGGGTGTCTACATTGAAGTATAAAAGCTTTCATATAAGTAAATCTAAAACTGAATACATGAAATGTAATTTTAGTAGTAATAGCTCCAGTGACAGAGTTAATGATCACATCATTAAAGTGTGTGAATGTTTTAGATATTTTGGGTCAATTATTCAAAGTGATCGCGATATAGATGGGGATGTTATTAGTAGAATTCAAGTTGGTTGATTGAAGTGGACGAATGCATCTAGCCTATTGTGTGATAGAAAAGTACCACTTAGACTTAAAGGAAAATTTTATAAGATGGCGGTAAGACTTGTGATGCTCTATGGCGTAGAATGATTGCCTTTAAAAGAGAAGCATAAAATAAATTTAGTGTTGCTAAGATAAGAATGTTTAGGTGGATGAGTGGCTTGACACTTACAGACAAAATGTGAAATGAATATATCTGTGTAGCTCCAATAGCGCCAAGATTGGAAAGTCGTCCTAGATTGTTTGGTCACATCAAACATCAACCATCTGATGATCTTGTTAGGAGAGTGGATGTTTTAGATTCGACTTTTGTTAAGAAATGACTTGACGTGTTGAAAAAATGATCTTAATCTATTACAATTAAATGAAAATATGAAACTCAATAGGATGAAATGGAGAAAAAGGATTAATGTAGCGACCCCACTTAGTGCGATAAAGACTTGTTGTTGTTGTTCGTGTTGTTCATTAAATATTGTCTAAGGTGTTGATCTTTTTCTCCATAAATCATTATGAAATTTATCCATATTTATTTGAGCCCAATGCTTCTTCTTGCCAATTTTCCAATACTAACCATATCAACCAATCAAAAAGGTGCATTCTCTATATATGCAGTTAGCAATTACTATGTCTTCAACAAATATTACTCAAACTATTTCGCCAAAATAATCATGGGAAATTAATGTAAGGTCTTATAGTTTATTATTTATTTTTAGTCCGTCTTTCTTATATTATTTTTTAGTCCCATGAAATTTTATTTTTCCAATATTATCAAATAAT